ATGTTTACTCTTAAGTAAATATGTTATCTTATGTGCAAAATATATGATATTTATATTCAAAATATTCCTGGTCTTACAAGGAATCCAGCAATGTCAATTATATTATCCTAACTTTAGTCTGATTTATTATTTATTACTAAAAAGGTAAACAGTCTGGTATGCCCACACATTTATCTAGTAGGGACGGTTGGTGGGGTGTGGGGGAGAGGGAGGGAGGGACCGGCGACCGACCATCTGTTACCATGTGAAGAATTTTTTTTTTTTTATTAAGTGAAGATTTTTATTTTAGCTCATAAAATTCATACAAATTACCCGGCCAGAATATAATTTGCATTGCTGGAATTCTTACAATTTGGTGATCATTTTGAATATAAACATCATATATTTTGCATTAGACATAAAATTTTTAGATAAAATGTTTAATCTGAGTAAGTATGTTATCTTTTGTGCAAAATATATGACATTTATATTCAAAATATTCCTGGTCTTACAAGGAATCCAGCAATGTCAATTATATTATCCTAACTTTAGTTTGAGGTATTATTTATTACTATACCTGGTTTTCCCCCCAAAATTTCTCAGAGGGAAGAGCCAGCAGTTTAGTGTGAGAAGAGGGGGAGGGAGTCATATCCATTATTTGAATGGACATTAACTTGGCGACTGTATTTCTCTATTTCTCTTAAGTATTAATTGTGTGCATGTACCATCATAAAATTAAGATGTTATTTTTACTACAACATAGTTGTGTGTCAAAAAGTGGAGTTTGGGGATCGGCCTGGACTCCATTTCAATTAATCCCATGTGTTATGTTATTTACTTTATTGCTGGGCTTTAATCCGGGTCACACACACACACACACACACACACACACACACACACACACACATATATATATATATATATATATATATATATATATATATATATATATAGTCATCCCTTGGTTATACGCATTTGGTTTTCACAATTTTCGTTATCACGCCTCCATCAAAATCTGCACACCTGCTGTTATTACGCAGTTGCCTCCAGGTGTTTTTACTTCACTAGACCTTCGGCGCTAACTGTCAAACATGTCGCTGTCACCCCTCCCTCCTTTCCAACCCCCTCCCAGCAAAGGTTTCGTGGTTATACACTAGGCTTTAAGTTTTTATCTTATATAATATCACAGACTAAAGTTGGGAGAATATAATTTTATTGCTGGAATCCTTGCAAGACAGCGAATAATTTGAATATAAACGTCATATATTTTGCACAAGCGATAAAAATTTTTGCTCTCTGTAATAAAATTCTTAAAATTAGATCTAAAATTTATATGTCTAATGCAAATTATAGCTTGTTTATAATTAAATTAATCACTATCTTATAAGAATTCCAGCAATGTAAATTATATTCTCCCCGGTCACTTCTATGAAATTTTATAAGCAAAAAACAAAAACTCAACTAAACGACATAAATAAACAAAAAATACTTAACCAGTGGAAGCACTGAAGGGTTTAGGCTCTGCAACTCCCATTTTTCTTGCCACTGCTGTGTAGAGTTCTCGGGCGTAGTCCTGCACTGCCCGAGTGTCAACCGCCATGTTCCTTTTTGATTGACGAATAATGTAGCTTACCAAACAACTCTCGGTCTTCAGCAGCACCTTATTGTGACAATATTTCACCAGCGAGGCACCTACAGACTTGGTAATGTTATGTGTTCATTGATTTTGCCGGCATCCTTCTTGATCGTGTATATCGTCGATTCATTCACTCCATATTGTCTGGCCAGATCAACCTGCCTCGTGCTTTTTTCTAACTCATGAACTATCTTGTACTTAATCTCATAGCTTAAGGCGCGTCGCACCTTCTTGGGCTTGGGCCAGGTAGTTCAGGGTTTCTCAGGGGTGGTGGGGGTCCAGCGGAAGCCATTGTGTAGAAAGAAAAAATAAAACCGGTTCCTGGGCACGAGTGAGTATACGCGGGGACAGTGAGACTGGCGCGGCCACGGTCAAGATCGCTGGTGGCAGGGCAAGCAAGGTTAAATAGACCAATCACAGCGCGCGGCGGAGGGGTGAGTGGGTGGTAAGGATACGTGGCCCAATCACAGTCTGCGACGTCATCGGCGCGAGTCTGACGTCAGCACCCAGCACCTTGCCCGCCACTGGGCACGTATATGATGGTATTTACCGCGTAAATAATAATTAGCAAATCTGGACAGGTGCCGCGTAAACGGCAATTCGCATATAAAATATCCGCGTAAACTGTATATATGTTGTGTTGTCAGAGAAACAATTCAGACCCTGCAATTGTGTGTAAATGAGGCAGAAAGTCAGATCAGCAACCTGGGACTTGATCACAATTTTTGTGATGCCATATGGCAGCAGGGTCTACCATTAGACAACACATTATGCTTCCAATATCTTCCCAATATCTTCCCTGTTTGGTAGCTGCCTAATGCCTACTACATACTCAAATTAATTGCTCTCTAACAAGAATTCCAGCAATACAAGTTATATTCCCTTAAGTCAAGCCAGTGACATTTTATAAGAGTTAATCTATACTCGGTGGGGGAGTGACCGCGCCACCCCCTTCCCAGAAAGGGTCGCCTCACTGTTTGTCTACTGTACTGACTCATTCATGATACAATATTGTTTAATTGTTTTTCATTAATTAGTACAAACATGTTACTGGAATAATCAGTGCTTATTAATACATGTACCTTTCATATACAATACGTTACAGTACTATGTATATACCCCATAGGTAAAAAATAATGTCATTCAAGACATATTCAGGTCATAAGACTCACTAATCCCCCACCCAACAATGGGTGACCTGACATTGCATCAGGTCAGGTTAGTAATGTGACCGAATAATCTCCCACCCAACCTTCATCACAAGTATTAAGACATGATTAGTTACTGTATGTATTACAGTCAATTGAGTGAAGTGTGTAACAGAGACGTGACGATCGCCCAAGCGACTAGCGAGCCGATCAGTGGTGAAGATTAAAGAAACAGTTCTGTTCACGCCTGTATCATATAGAGCTTTTGTTTTAAAAATATATTTCTTTAACCAAACTTTTAGATTGATTATTCGGGACTATTTTGAAGAAAAAAAATGATGTTTCTAATGAAATTAGAACATTTCTTACGTTTTTTCATAGAAGAATGGAATTCCCATCACTATATCATATAAAAATATTTCATTTAAGGATATCTTATTGGAACATTCCGTAGAGAATTTATTAAGGATCATTATGGTATCAAATTCATCTCCCTTTCACAATTATCCACGTTTGAGTGAGGAGGGGGGGGAACTGACCGTGCGACCCTCCCCCCTCACCTCCCCAAAAAGTTACTCCCACACTCTTCAGCCTAACATTACACCCCAACAAAAACACACACACACACACTCCAACAACCAGCCACACACACACCCCCTACCAACACACATTCCAACACCACTCACATACCCCTAACAAGGGAATTACGACAGCAGACATAAGGAGTGAGGGTCTTATTGTGTGACAAATTTGCGTGTGCGTGTCTGCGAGTTAAATATCAGCTGTTGAGGAGTGATTGGCAACACTCATTTCCACTCCATCTCTCTAATTACCCACACCTTTCTGCTTTCTCTCTCCATATTTCAAAATGTTATGTTATGCAATGTAATGTTGAAGGGATACAACTTTGCTCATTTATAATTATACTTATCACAATCTCTCTAAAAATGCTTTAGGTTTCGTGTTTATTCAAGACATCTTCAGGTCATGAGACCCACTAATCCCCCGGCCAAGAAAGGGTGACCTGACATTCCATCAGAAGGTCAGTAATATGAGACCACTAATCCCCCACCCTACCTCCACGTTACATTGCGTTAGGTCAGGTACACGAGACCCACTAATTCCCCACAGCTCCATGGGAGTGGAAAATAACAGTCTTTGCTGTAACACAGCCAATATATTTATTTCACCAAACTTTTAGATAAACTACTCTGGATTATTTTAGTAAAGAAACGGAGTTTCTAACATAACAGAACTGTATTTACGGACTCCGGTAGTTTACACTCAAGGAAAACATCCCCAGCACCCAGAAACATTCTGGGGAAGTGAGCTAGTGTCTGTGTGTGCAAGATGTCTAGTTTAGGCTCTCAGAAACGTTTTCCAGTAACCGGAAAATATTCTGGGATAAGGAATATTTCTGTGTTAGAGAAAGTCATCTGGTTAGCTGGAAATCTCTCATCCCCGGAAGTGCTCTGCACCAATTGTTCCGGCTAATGGGGATATCACTGTATATATATATTTATATATACACACACACACAGGTATAATATGTACCCCCAAAAATGTGTATGTACAGTACACTAAGAGAATAAATGCTAGTAACACATGCTTACTAATTAATAACAAATAAACCATGTACCGTACTGGTTGTGGTGAAGGGGAGATTGTGATAAGTGGTGAGGAGATGATGCATCAATCGGTTTGTTTGGTAACACTGGATGCAGCCACAACTGAACAGCTGATGTCTACCCACAAAATTGAGTGTAAATATAAATAAACGTCGTATTCCTTCTACATTACGTCACATAAATTTTAAATTATGGAGTGACAATAACAAAAAAACAATGTACAATTCTGTACAATATTGTACTATCATGAATGACAGTCACAGTAGAATGATTGAGAGGGGCAGATTGTCGGGGTGAGACACAGTGGATGGAAGGGACGGAGGAAGGTGAAATTATGATTTCGGTGGTGATAATAGAGGTAGTGGTGCTGATGGTGGTGATCATTGAGCTGGTGGTAAGAAAGCAGAAATGTGGGGTGACTTACCATTCGTAATAATAGAACATTGTTTCGTTAATCGGCAAATGGGTAGTAAAAATTTGCTTGCGTTATAGTGTGGATTGTTCAAAGGATTAACGTTCAGTTGGGACTTAATCTAGTGGATAACTGCTTAATGGTATTCCAGTGAGAAAGCAGCAGAATCTATAATAAAACTTATTTACAGTATTTACCTTTTCAAGCATGCCAAGTAAATCTGTCACAACAGAAGATTTCTGAGTCAAGGCAATGTGGACCAGCAAATTGACAGCAGCTGTTCTTACACCAACATCACACTCTGCCTCAATTCCATCCATTTGTATAGTGACCACACTTCTTATCATCTCTGTTCCATATATGTGTCTGGAAGAAATCAGAGTAGACAATTATAATCTGCATGAAACACATATTAATTGAAATAAGGCAGAAAGAAGAAACAAGGAATCATGAATTTGTCACTGCTAAAAAGTTATCTAAACTCCTTGACTACTAGATGCCTTTTAATATCATATTATTTTAATACAAGATGATTTTATTCAGCACAGAGAGAGAGAGACCCCTTGCACCCAAGAGGTGAACATTGAAGGGAAGATGAAGGATTTTTTCTGTAGTGAAATTATGGTATTCAATATGTACAGTCACCGACAAAATACAGGGGGATCCCCGGGTTATGAATGGATTCCGTTCCTGAGGATGTTCTTAAGTAAAAGTTCTTAAGTAAAAAATATATGCAAGTCGAAATACATTTTATGTGCATACCGTAATTACCAGTGGCGGCTCGTGAAAAATAAAATGGAGGGACTGCAAGCCTCACACCGAGTCCCCACCAAACAATAAGCATGGAAAGCAGAATAAAGCATTTGCCTCCTTGTCACAACCACAGAGCCATTCACATTTCTGATAAACACTGATGTTAAACTGGTGTGTATATTCTTTGTTCCTGCTTGTACTGTTCTGAAATTCCATGCTTATTGTTTGGTGGGGACTCGGTGTGAGGCTTGCAGTCCCTCCATTTTATTTTTCACGAGCCGCCACTGGTAATTACAGAACAATGTTAAAAAAAAAAACCACTATACCATTGTCTATATACATCTAAAATCACTTAAGAGAAAAGAAGAAATAAAATGACAAAATACAATATATGAAAGTAAAATGTAAGTCATCAGGTATATAAATTACTGTTAATTTAAAATTTAACCTTGTTCGTATCGGTGGGCATTCGTAAGTCAGACATTCGTAAGTTGGGGACCCCCTGTATATGTACTGTATAATGTCAACCATTGCTAAAAAAAATTGATCACTTCATATGGATTATTCACGATGCCCTTTATATTTATGTTTTACCAACACTGGGGATATTCTATGGCGATACTACCCACATAATTATGAGGTGTTGCCAGATGCTACCAAACGTGTCGAGAGTATTTTGTCGGCAACTATATATCCCACTCAAAAGTGGGAGAGGGTTACAGACAGATTTGTAAAAAGTACAGGACTTTGTTACTTAAGTAAAATTATTGTTACATTGGTAAAATCTTACTCAAGTAGAAGTAAAAGTATCCAAAGATCAATGTATTTCCAAAGTTCAATATACTCAAGTCAAAGTAAAAGTATCTCATTCACAAAGTACTCAAGTACTGAAAGCCACGGGTACCAACAAAATTATTAATTGTCTCAAATATTGAAATTAATGAACAATAAATAAAAAAAAATTGGTTAACTAAATATAAAAATAAAAGACACATGGCATTACACATGTTTATTTGCAAATGTTTCTTAATATGTTCAGAGTACCCATTTAATGAAACTAAATGCCTAAAATCTGAAATTCTTTGGAACTGCAGAGGGCTTTGAAAACCAGGGAAAATGAGGGGTTAAAACAAAAAGTTGATTTAAAAAAAATAGAGACAAAATATGATAAACCCTAGCTTCGGAAAGGAACAATGACCTAAAGTATTTTTTTTTCTTTTTACAGGATTAGCCCACCAGGGCACAGGTCAATGACCCATATCAGAGCATGGGAGCAAAAATATAATTATAATACTATAGTGGTCCCTCGATTAACGAACGGTTCAATTAACGAATTAGCTCCCATAAGGATTTTCAGTTCCATTAACGAACAAAACTTCGATTAACAACAGCCTTACGAGAAACACGCTTTGTTGTGTGCATCAGTTGATCAGCTGATCGGCTAGTCCGCCAATACAGTACAGTACAGAGTAATCAGTTCTATGTTTACATTCGTTTCCAGTGGAGTAAATATCAAGAAAGTTGTGCTCTCGAATATTTTTGCATTTTTACATTAAAATTATTGGTCATTCTGAAATTTACCATATTTGCCAGCATATAAGACACACCACCGCATAAGTCGCACCCCTATTTTACAAGGATATTTTGTGGATTTTTTTTTTAAATATGTTTCGTCATACAATTATTGAAAGAGATTTAACGTGGTTTTGTGGGGGGAAACATATGATTTTGTGCATGTAAATACAATATACAATACAGTAAAGCCTCCGATTAACAACGGTTCGACCAACAACTTTTCATATTTAAGACCGTAGTTAATTTAGGACCCAATTCAATTTACGTCCTTATATCATTCATATTTACGACCAAAATATAATAAAATTTAAATAAAATTACATTTTCATATAAATAACAACTAAATCCCAAAATGTATAAAAAAAAAAAAATACTGTAAAAAAATTAAGAGAGCCTTGCACAAAGAAGCTGCCTGGCTAATGAGTGGTAAACAACAGTCGGAGCTTGGAGGGCCTTATGTTTTCAAGCATCTGGAACAGGAACAGGATAAAAACTATCTCAAGTTTCTTACAGCATTTTTGAATTCCTATTGAACATGAGCAAGAGAGCAAGTGATGGTAGTGTTGTTTGTTTCAAAAGCTTAATAGAAAGTGTATAAGCTTAGCCAAGAAAATAGATGTGTTAAAACGATATGAAAAAGGTGAAAGGTCTGTGGATATTATATGGAGCAAGCAATGAACTTATTTTCTGAAGTGGATCCATAAACAGAACAAAGCATTAAAATTTAAATAAACACAAATGACCTCTACATAAAGATGTACAGGTATAATGAGAAAAGAAAGCAGCTGTGCAAGGTTCTTTCGACAGCTTTATTATTCAAAGGCCTAAACCATCAACTTCATCTACACCATCAAATTCAGCATCATAAGCAGCTTCAACATCAACTTCAGGTTCAGTAACAGTTTCAGCAACAGCTTTACGGAAAGCTACAGCTTCAGCCAGAGTTGAACCTGATGACTTCGTCATCTGAGTAAAAACTCGCACATATTCCTTGGCTGTCCTTATATTTTAAACTTTACCACCATTGGTGAAAAGAATTTTTGTTTTACATTCGTAAATATTATTTAAAACATATATGAACAGTAAATAAGTGTTGCTTTCATATTCATACATAGAAACGAATTGAATTGATTGAATTGAAACAGTTAATTTAGCCAGAAAAATACAGATACAGACTGGATAATAAACACAATATTAACATGGCTGAGCCAGTTGAGAACCCGAGCTCTCTTTGACGATATGTTGTCACATGTACGCACTTACTGTTCATTCATACGTTGGCATTCCCAATCGTCTCGCTTTATTTCTTTATCATTAGTGGTTAGCTACTTCTAGCTAAATAAAATTACTTAAAACATACATACAGGTATTAAATTTTTTAAAATCAAGTTCACTACAGCTACAACCAGGGTCTTATTTCCTTCAGTTTCTTATGTAGAACCATCGTCAATTACGAGAACAATGCCGTATTGTCTCCTCATGTGTGTTTTAATATTCTATGTATTATTAATGAATTGCATTGTTCATTCCACATATATAAACATTAATTCAATCAAATACATATTCAGTAATAAACAATAATGAATCTTTTGTACATATTCTTAAGATAAATGACTAGGTTTCCTTGAGTGCGCACGTATACACTGGCGTTCCACTATCAGTCTCACTTTTTCTTTAATATCAGTGGTTACTTCTACTGTACATTAAATACCATTAATTAAAACACATATTTTTTACATTAGTTTTACTACAACAACAACCAGGGTCATATTTTCTTCAGTTTCAGGTGGATAACTGACATTATGGGTGTAAACACTGACAACAATGCCATCTCTTATCCTCGTGTGTTTTATTATTCTACGTATTATTAATGATTTGTATTGTTCATTTCGCATATATAAAGATTAATTCAATCAAATACATATTCAGTAATAAACAATAATGAATCTTTTGTACATATTCTTAAGAAGATAAATGATGCGGTATCCTTAAATGTGCACGTATATGTTGGCGTTCCCAATCCATCCCTTTTTTTTTTCCTTTGCCATTACCTACTTCTATTGTTCCATTTATTAACATTAAATAATGTTGCTTAAAACATATATATTAATTTTTTTTTTACATTAATTTTACTACAGCTACAACCAGGGTCTTATTTTTCTTCAGTTTCTTATGTAGAACCAACGTCCCGGCTGTAAACACAAACGAAAACAATGGCGTCCCATCTCCTCTTGTGTGACCATATTATTATTCCTTTATATTGTATAAGGTGCCTTCAGAAACATTATTTAAAGAATATAGTTTGCAATTTTCATTAATTGTATTTTTTGGGGGGGGAAAAAGGATAAAAAGCCACACAAAAGATATGAAAAGGTCACACTTGGGAATGCAACTCATTAGTATAGTAACATTATACTAACCCAACTCTACCTCTGATCAGAGCAGCTGTGTGGCTTGTTTATATTTTGGTAAAGAGAACTTTTAGCTATGATGTAGCTGTAGGAGTAGCACCATCGCTATTGTTTTGGCGTCATCGACTCATTGTAAATGGCTGACTGGCGGCTGAACTTTCTGTTTGTGATAATAGATTGTGATAATTTGGCACGTTTTTCAGTATTTTATTATTAATAATATTATTAGTAACACAATTTTTGTGCTTAGAGGACTACTGCTCGTCCCAGACTCCCTAACTAGGCACCTCCACATATGGCGCTCAGCCTCCCATCCGTAATATGGGCGCATTAGATGCAGGATAATTTGTGATACATTAAAAAAAATATGCGTCTTACACGCCGGTAAATACGGCAGTTAACATATTGATAATAGAGTGGTCCCTCTGTTAACGAGCACAATTCGTTCCAGAAGGTTGCTCGTTAAGCAAAACCATTGTTTCAATGGGTTTTTGGGTAATTGGTTCCAGCTCACCGAAAATTACATACAAACAAAAAATAACTGCAGTAAAGTACACTTACTTTGAGGTGTGCATGTAGAAGGCTCCTGGTTGTTGATGATGATGATGATGGGAATTAGAATGGGGG